TGATGTTAGCCTTAAGCCGTGCTTTTAGTAATCTATCTTTAGTAAATTGTCTAACCCACTATTATTTGTTGGTCCTCTCTAATATACTTCATAGTCTTGCTAATTATTCTACCATTTACAACATCCTATCATAACAAAGATTTGATTAGTAGGAAATAAAAGAATTTGGCCTTCAGCTAGCAGGCTATACTTTTACTCACAAACTAGATCTGAATATCTCTTCAGTATCTAATCACACCCTTTCAGATAGCAGGTGATACTTCTGGAGAATTCAAAGATTTGTTAGTTGCGCTTGTCACCGGCAGCAAGGATAGCAGCCGCAATACCAATGATCAGGAGGCTAAGGATGTGCGTTGAGCGATGTTTTCTTCGAATAAAACACAAACGCGGGTCTTTTTAGGATGCCGTTCGTCTCTATGCTGACGGTAAGGCAAAGCTGGTGGGCAAAGGTGCACCATCGCACTTCCTTAAGATCCTCGCCACTCAGAATCAGTACCAGCTTAGAAAGGTAAGCGGAGTTCAACACTTAGCCAAAAAAAAACCGTGGGAATTAACTGTTTTAGGTGTTTGCCGCTTTCGCTGACCTTTCTGGAACTAGCATTGAGAAGGCAATTGAAAAGGAGTTCAGTGGCGACCTACAAAAGAGCTACCTTACTATCGTCAAGGCCGCATCCGACAAGCAGAAATTCTTCGCTGAACAGCTCTACGCCTCCATGAAGGTAAGACTTCGAGCTGGCATGGGATACCGCTGCATAATTTATTCACTTTTGATTTTAAGGGCCTGGGCACTAGGGACAACGACCTGATTCGTGTGTTGGTTAGCCGCTCAGAAGTTGATCTCGAACTCATCAAGCAGGAATTCGAGGCGTTGTACAAAAAACCACTTGCAGATATGATCAAAGTACGTACAGCAGGAATTCCCATTATTCTGCACATCTTTATGCATTTGTATACCTCACATAGTATTAAGTTTATAGTAATTTTTGCTGCTTCCAGGGCGACACCTCCGGTCAGTACCGGGATGCTTTGCTTGCCATCGTTGCTGGAAATCGTCCAGTGTAAAAGCTTCGTTGCTATTCTTACATTGCTTTTGTCACATTCCCCACTTATCCTTATCGCGTGCTGTT